TGCTCTTATTTTTTTTTGGGTGGGGGGAGAACAAAGTTTGCAGATTTTAAGTTAGTAAACTTGACTTCTGTTCTTGGCAAAATTAGAAAATAGATTGTTAAAGATAATGTGAGTAAACATCTAGAAAAGAAAGTAGCAATCACACACAAGTTAGAGTGCCTTCCTCAAGAAGAGGTCATGCCAGACTAACCTTATTTCCTATTTTTAGAGGGTTACTAGACTGACGAAAAAGAAAATACTAAATATTAAGTTTCCCTAAATATTAGCAAAGTATGTGGTGAAGTACTTCATGCTATTCTTCTCATATTAATAATAGAGAGGTGCAGCTAGGTAGTGCAGTGGATAGAGCACTGGCCCTGAAGTCAGGAGGAGCTAAGTTCAAATCCAGCTTCAGACCAAACACGTGACACTTACTAGCTGTGTGACTCTGGGCAAGTCACTTAACCCCAATTGCCTAAAAATACAAAAAAAATAAAAATAAAAAAATAGAGAAACGAGAACTAAATGACTAAATTCAAGACTGTTGAGGGGCTAGGCTTAAATGTCATTAATAGTTCAAAGTCAATTTGTAAGGAAATCACCTGCAAAGGCCCCCATGGATCCAGTGCTTACTCCTGTGCAGTTTAATATGTTAGAAATGATTTCAATAAAGACACTGATGGAATGCTTAATAAATTTGCAGAAGACAAAGCTGGGACAGATAACTAATATGCTGGATAACAGCCAAGATCTAGAAAGAATCTGAGAGACTAAGCCAAGTCTGGTGTGATGATTTAATTAGAGAACAGGGGGAGTGAGAGGGCAAAAGATCACATCTATGATTTTATTGGTATGGGGAGCTACATAGATCTGGAAGGCATTTGGACAGAAAGGATATATATAAGCCTATGGAGCTGAAATGGTCACCAAGTGAGAAAACGTAGAGAGTAAAGAGAAAAGGGCCAAGAACACAGGCTAAATGAAAACCCTGTTTGGGGGCATGGCATGAATGATTATCAAGTACAGAAGCTGAAGAGTAGGTAGGAGGAGAACCAAGAGAAAGTAAAGTTACAAAAACCCAATGAGGAGAGAGGATCCAGGAAGAGAGGCAAGTCAACAGTGTGAAAAACAGTGTGAAATTCTTCATTGTGGACAATAAGAACATGAACTAAGAAAAGTCCATTATATTTGGCAACTTTGGAGAAAGTCGTTTTCGTTGAGTGGGGAGGGTGGAAGCCAGGTTGCAAAGAGAAATGAGAAATGAATGAGAGGAGAAGAAATGGGAGCAATGAGATAGCTTTTTCTAGGCATCAGAGAAATGGAATAAAGATACAGAATGATAGCTTAAGGCAAAGATAATGTCTAGTCAAGGTTTTGAAGAAGGACAAGGAGATAACAATGTTTGTAGGAAGCAGAAAAGAAACCAGCAGATGGGGAGAGACTAAAAAATTAAAGAGACAGGGAGAAGATTGAGGAAGCTACCTACAAGAAAAGATGAGAAGGGACAAAATCAAGGACACATGTAGAAGAGCTGCCTTTGGCAAGAAGTGCCACCTCTTTGTCAGATTGGACTGAAGGAATGCAAGGGTGATATTAAAAGGTTTATCGATGGAGAGGAGAGGAGAAAAGGGGAGCTCACACTGAATGGCCTTTATTTCCTCACTAAAATATGAAATTAGGTCAACAGCTGAGTGGATGAGAAGAGAGATGTGAGAAAATACAATGTTTAGAATAGCCCTTGTGAGGAATGAGACATTAAATTAGGGAGAAGTAAAATTACTGCCTTACTGAAGCTATGACCCAACTGAAGTTAGATAACATTAATTTATATTTTATATAAATATAGTGGACCCAGACACCTAGATTGTATGACTTCCTCCAACTTTTCAGCAGCTCATGAGTAGCGGTTGAGGAGGTAGACAGTGGGAGTAATCCAGCTTGTGAGTTTAAGGCATGAATGGTGACAGGAGAAGAGGACAATATATGACAGTGTGGACAGTGGAGCTGAACTGGCAAAGTAAAGCTAGACCAAGGACAACGAACTGAAAGAAATACTCAATGCTAGAGAAACTAGAGGTTAAGATGAGGACAAGGAAGAAGTTTAGAAGACGTATGACCAGACAGAAACAAGTCAGAGTTAAGGAGATAGGTATGAGATCACGCTTACAGGTGATTGGAAAAGAAAGAATATAATTATTTTTGTGTGGCTGAAGTGGAGAGGTAGGGAAGTGAAAGGAAAGGTAACAAGTATTTATTAATTACCTGCTATATGCTAGGCACTGTGCTAAGCATTTTACAAATAATTATTGCATTTGATTCTCACAGCAATCCTAGGAAGCAGATGCTATTATTATCACCATTTTGCAGATAAAGAAATTGAGGCAGACAGAGTTTAAGTGATTTGCCCAGAGTCACACAGCTAGTAAGTATCTGAGATTGGATTTGAACTTGGGTCTTCCAGTCTCTAGGCCCAACAGTCTAACCACTGCACCACTTAGCTTCCTATAATAAAAGCTAACATGTATAAAACAACTTTAAGGTTTATAAGGTGCTTTATAAATATTATCTCATTTTATCCTCACAATGACCCTAGGAGATAGGTATTTTTATTATCTCCATTTTACAGCTGAAACAGACAAAAGTTAAGTGACTTCCCCTAGGTCATGTTGTGAGTAAGCATCTGAGGCTACATTTATACTCAGACCTTCCTGCCTTGAAGAAGATGGTCTACGCTGTGCCACCTAGCAGAATCAGGTTGTCATAGAATTTGAAGAGATTGAGGAATCAGAAGGTTAAAATGTTTGAAGGAACAAACATTTATGCCAAAGTCCCTTAGTGTAAGGAGATTAAGAAAAGGGCTCCTGAATGCCCATCAGTTGAAAAATGGCTGAACAAGTTGTAGCATATGATTATGATGGAATACTATTGTAACTATAAGAAACGATGAGCAGGATGCTCTCAGAAAAACCTGGAAAAACTTGCATTGGCTGTTGCAAAGTGAAATGTACTATGTATAAAATAACAGCAATATTGTAAGATGATCAGGTGTGAATGACTTAGCTATTCTCAATAATACAATGATCTAAGACAACGCTGAAGGACTTTTGATGAAAAATGCTATCCCAGAGAAAGAACTGATGGTGTCTGAATACAGATTGAAGCATACTTTTTTTACTTTCCTTATTTTTCTTGAGGGTTTTTTTTCTTGTCTATGTTTTCTTTTACAACATGACTATTAAGAATATGTTTTGCATGACTACACATGTATAATCTATATAGAATTGCTTGCCTTATCAATGGGGGGTGGGGATAAGGAGGGAGTAAGGGAGAAAATTTGGAACTCAAAGTTTTAAAAATGAATGTTAAAAATTGTTTTTACATGTAATTGGGGAAAAATAAAATACTAAATAAAAGCTTAAAAAATGAAAAAAAGAAAAAGGCCCCTGAAAGCTGTGAGGTGGACTCCCTGGGATACCCAGGAGGATGTAGATAACAGTCTCATGATTTGAGAAGGCACAGATGGGTTTTGATCTGCACCCCTAGAACGGGGTAAGGAGATCAACACTGAGGAGACCATAGAATGAGAGAACTGAAAGGGAGCTTCACAGCCACCTAACCCAACCTTTTCACAACAGAATTCTCATTACTATATACTTTAAAAATGGCCATGGCCCCTCTCCAGGCATCAAGCAGGCACCCGCCTCTTTGCCACCACATCCTGTTCCTGGTTCTGTTCTCAGAGTTCAAAGAGAACAAGTCTAATCTCTTGGCCATAGGGAATCCTTTCAAATACTTGAAGATGGGTACTGTGTCTCCTCCAGGACTTCTTTTTGTCAGGTTTAACATAACTAGTTTTGTCAACCAAACCTCCTATGTCATGACCTCAGGACCTTTTGCCATCCTAGCTGCCCTCCTCTGAATACTTTTTAGCTCATCATTATCCTTCTTAAACCATGAAGCCCAGCACTGAACACAATGCTCCAGGAGGTCAGACAAGGACAGAGGTCATTCCTGAAAGCCAGCAGGCCAAGACTGCATCAGCTTTTTGGTTGCTATCTCCTACTGCTGACTTACATGGTGCCGGCAGGCCCCTGGAAAGCAAAGATTCTTCTCCTAACAACTACTGTATGTCTATACTCTTCCATATTACATTGGGCGCAGTTGATCTTTTGTACTTAATGTGAGACTCTACATTTATCTCTATAGAATTTTATTTTGTTAGATCAAGCCCAGCATTCTAACCTGTCAAGATCCTTTTAGATCTTGATTCTGACATCTAGATGGCTGTCTGCCCCTACATGTCTCTGTATTTCAGTTTATTAAGCTCATCACTAAGGTCTTTTCTAGTCATTAGGTTCAATTATTTTATTTAGCATTTTTTATGACTTTCCAACTTATGACATACTTCCCAAACTTTAATTTCTTATTAAACAAACAGGGATAGGTGATGTTTTGTTTTGTCTTTGTACTCTCATTTCCTAGCACAATGTCTGGCATATACTAGATCCTTAATTTTTTGACTGACTTTACATATGGGCAACAGAGAAATTAAGTTTCACTTAATTTTGCCTGCTACTGAGAATAATACAACTGAATCAACTTGTTGATTTCAAGAAATATTTACTGAATGCTTACTACATCAACAATCAACAGTTCTTAAGTGGTAACAACAGAATAACTTACAAATGAAGCATCAGAAACAGTCTTTTCTCTACAAAACAAACAAACAAAAAAGAAATAGTCCTTTCTCTCAAATGGCATATGGTGCAGGAGATAAAACTAATACCTGAAACCATCACAGATTTTAAGGGAGAGATTTATTGTTTCAGGTGAGTTTGTTAGTCCTTTAAACTCTGTTTATTCATATAAAGTGCTAAATTGGTTTCAAAGTACTTAATTTTAGAAATTTAGATTATTATTAACCACTTAAAAGCTGGGGGGAAAGACTGCCACTTATGAAAGTCTGTTTCCTTCATGTATGTGTATTAAAGTGGTTGTGTTTATGGTAAAATAATAATTACCTGTTAAATTTGCAGCATCTGTGGGGCTCAGCTGTAACCAATGCCTAGCATCTGAATCAACAGCAACATCAGTTGGTGTATTCAGTTCTGGGTCTTCTTCAAATGGATGCCATGGATTCATTGTTATCTCTACCTCATTATTATAGCCAAGAGATGTGTCACTGCTAACACTTTCACCTAACACAACCAGGGGAGTTGAAAGATATAGATAATGAATAACTGTAAATTATAAAAATAAAATGTTATTTTCACATCAATTAAAGTGATAAGCTAAATCAGTGAGCATCCAACTAGAACGCACCAATAAGATGCATAGTGGTGTACCCAAAGAACCCTTAGTCAGATATTGATAAGACTCTATAGAGTATAGCAAAACCCAAAGGTCTACATTCAAAGGCTGCTTAGTGTCTGAAGGCTTCAGACGAAAGACAAAAAGTTTCAGAAATCTCTTTAAAAAGACTTAAATGTCAATCACAATCATCAAGAGTCATAAATTAAGCTAGAAGAATACATAATCTACAGACTATTCAGGCAAATACAATCAAGTGTTAGTTTTTTAAATAATCAATGCACATATTATTTTCTAAAAACTTATGCTTTTTGCCCTTGTGGGAAGTTGGTTTAGCTAAGACAACCAAAGGCAACTGTATGTTCATATTACTTTTAAATCTGATTAATAAATAATCTTTTTAATTGATGGCCAAATTTTGTGAACAAAAGCAAAATGAATTCATAGAAAAATAACAAGGTTAATGTTAATCATGAGCAACATTGAAAAGGTAAAACTTTGACTAAAAAAAGAGAAAATATTTTTTAAAAACCAAGGTTAGGGAAAACAAAAATAAATTTAATAAATACAACAAATAAATGCTTTCACTCTATACTATAGTTATTAGTGGAAATTTACAGAAATGGGAGAAACATCAGAAATAGAGGAAAGATAGAAACATACAGAGATATGGCCATAGAATTTCACAGAGTAGTAATTTCCATTTCATGATCTTTTAGGAATCTCCTAAGTACTTTTAAAGTCATACTGAGGCATTTTGCTCAACTGAAAGCATACATTATAATGGTTTATTCTTCTTTGGTACTTGCTCATTGAGCCAGATCTGCTCTTAGTTGAAGGCTTTTCATCCCTGTTCTGACCTGTACAGTAGTGTTTCATTAAAATGGAATTAATAGTGCAATAAAGTTTCACAAGTGAATTTTCCAAATAATTGGACTCTTGTGCACTTGACACCTATTTTTTTGTAGTGATTAATTTAATGGAAATATTTCTGAAACACTTCCCTGACTTATCAAATAGTATGCTGAGAAAAATTTAACCTTTAATTGATGATCCAGGGTCATCACTATGAATAAAGATTATTGTACTATGTATGTTGTAAAACAGTGATATCTTCAAGAGGCTACTGAAGTATATAGGGCTGTCAGCTTCAATGTTAAATGTTATCACATTACTCTACTTTAAAAGTCCTACTGTCTCCCTTTTGTAATTGTCTCATTGATTGCTGTTAGTCATCACTTCTCACTGTTTCCCTCTACCAGTCCACCCCCTTATCGCACTAACTTCAACAAAGAAAGAATTAAAATTTGTCATGGAAAATCAGATGGTCAAAATTATTAAAAGATCTAATTTCACATGCTAGCCTCTCTGTGAGGATCTGAAAATGTATCTATGCAATATCCTATGTAATCTCTATCTGGTGAGCTTTGTGACAGATATTTTTCTTACTGCACAGAGGCTATTCTGAATAGCTAAGGTTCAGAGTTTCCAAACAAAGAACAAGGAGGCTGTTACTATAGGTTTTCCAATTGTTCCTACTACTTTTTTTTAGAAGGCTACCTTTTTTCACATTTCCAATTGAACACTGCTTTTTAAATACTTATTTGAATTAAAGAGATTAATAAAAGTTTCTGCCTATGTAAAGTTTGTGGAATTTATCTGGGAACTGAAGAAACTAAATGCTGTGGAAAGGATTTCATTTTCCCCTTCATTTGGCTATAGTCATCAGACAAAACAATTTGTTCCACTAAATCCTTGCCTAGTGAAACATGTTACTGTGCAAATCCATAGTTGGCTAGAAATTTTGGTTAAACGAAACACCACATTAAAGTAAAATAGTGAGGTGTTATTGTAATGAGAAATGGGAAAAAATCACATGTATGTATGTATGTAGTTTTTGCAGATGATCAAAATAACAATTCAAGTTCCTGGAACTCACTCTTTTGTCTTTCTCTACATTTTCCTTCTATTTGCTGCAAATCGTCTTTTAAATCTATTTCAGCTGGGCTGCTGCTTCTTCGCACTAAAACCTTCAGAAAAAGAGAAATCATGTTGCATTTGTTTATTACAAGCTATTTTTCATTTTAAAGAAACTGCATAATTTTCTGGTATACATTTCTAACAGCCAAACAAAAAACAGACAATCAGAAAAGCAAAAAAGAATGCCTTAATATTATGTTAAATGTGTATACATTTCCATAAAAAATTATCAATTACTCAAAATTTATAATTCAATTTATGGACTTCATTATGTCAACAGGCATTCAATTAAACCAACCTACTAATAAGGAATACAAAATTATGCATAATTAATTTTAAGGTTCTATTAATTCACTTAAGTATATATGCAGAAACATATAGTTTCTTACTGGTGTTTGCCTCTCCCTGAGTGTAAGCCAAGATATTTTTGGCTTCCAGATTTAGAGTCCAAAGTTACCTAATCAAATATCTTCATTTTACAAATTAGAAAACTGAAGCTAAGAAAGTTTTGGTGACTCATGTACAGCTAGTTTGTAGCAGAATCAAGACTGGAAACCAGTTCACATGAAAAGTGGAAAATAAAGGAGGTAACAGTAGAACAAGGTCAAAGGAAAGGATTTTTCTTCCCCCAACGTGGAAAGACTAACAATTAAAAGTTTAGTGCATTATAGAGCTAATGGATTAAAATAACATAGAAATTCCTAATTTAGAGGAGAATCTGATCCATTTGGATCGATTAAATTACAAAAAAGGAAATAAAGTTATTTACTTTTTTTGGAGGTTCATAACATGTCTTAGTAATTAAAACAGTGGAAAAAAATGTCTTTAAAAGGCACATTACTAAGATAAAAAAAAAGTGTTGCCCATTGCCAAAATTAGGAGAACATAAGGGAAAAAATAATCATTTATTTAATCACTCAAGTCAAGTGATGATGATTTATGCCTGTAAGCAATAAGGAATGATGAAATATATTTATATAACTTATTAGGATAATAATAGCTAGTTTTCAGACAATTAATTATTGTTTTTTTAAATTCTGAACTAGCTTAATTCTCAAATCCTAATATACATATAAAATTACATGTTTTTTTTTTCTTCTCCTAAAACATTAGAAGATAGAAATGATCTCAAAATTCCTTGGGATGATTTCCTACCAGAGTGTATGAGTTTGGGAGAGGGGAAACATTGACATTTATAACACCGCTATTATTTATTTTAATTAAATAATGTTTAGTTACAATTCACAAAGGAATGCCAATCTGATAAAATAATTAAAGTATCTTACTGTTGGTCCTTCATTTTCTTTCTTTAAATGTCCTTTATTTTCCTGAATTTGTCTGGGGTCTGATGAACTTAGATTCTGTGAGTTCTCTGTTTTTTTACCTGTAGAATGAAAAATGAAGTGGATTACATATTCCTCATTTATTATACTTTTTAAAACAAACAATTGCTGAATTCTAATTAGTGGGCACATGAGGCTCAAAAATAGGGCTTTATTGGGGGAAGCTAGGTGGCACAGTGGATAGAGCACTGGCCTTAGATTCAGGAGGACCTGAGTTCAAATCTGGTCTCAGACATATAACACTTACTAGCTGTGTGACCCTGGGCAAGTCACTTAATACCCCATTGCCTAGACAAAAAAAAAATAGGGCTTTATGTTACAACAGAAAATGAGAAAAAACACCATGGAAACATCTAATGGTCAGGTCTTTCCAAAGGCTATTCTATATCATTTCTTTCATTTCCTCCTCTTAGTGAGAGAATCCTTCTAGTACAGTTATAATATTTTAGAGTTACAAAGGGACCTTAGGAATCATTAAGTCAACCTCATCATTTTACATGTCAGAAAACATGCCCAAAGAAGTTCTCCAAAGTCAAACAAATCTGGGGGGTAGAACTAATACTAGACCTCACCTCTCCTGGACTAGCTTAGGCTTCTTTAGATCACATTGTTCATCCCTCACTGTGACAGAAGGAAAGAGAAGATGGAGGGGGAGGGACAACCAGAGAAACGGGGGGGGGGGGAAGGGGGGGAGGGAAAAGTAGAGGGAGAGAGAGGAAAAAAAGTTTATGGGAAAAGTGTTCTTTAATAAATAATGTTTAGTAAAATAAAGTGGGGACTCAAAGCTAAATGACTGAAAGGTTGTAATAGTAATACTTAATGAGGAAATACTGGAATATACCCCTTAATTGCCTTAGAACTGGAGATGAGATAAGGTAAACAAGCCAGTAACGTGTATATATGAGATTATCATTCCCCGTAGGCTAAACATAGGATAGTCAGTCTCTAAATGCTGTTGTACTTAAAAACTAATTGATTTCAAAAATGTAAAAATAAGAGGCAGCTAGGTGGTGCAGTGGATAGAATACTGGCCCTGGATTCAGGAGGACCTGAGTTCAAATCTGGCCTCAGACACATAACACTTACTGGCTGTGTGACCCTGAGCAATTCACTTAACCCCATTGCCTAATCAAAAAAAAAAAAGTAAAAATAACTTAAGAGAAAAGTTTTAAGAAATACGTCCAAAGTGACAGACAATGTGGCAGAGATAGAGAGCTTGCCTTGGAGTTAGGAAGACCTAAATTAAAATCCAGCCTCAGACATATCCTGGCTGAGTGACTATGGGCAAGTCACATAACCTCTCAAGTGCTTTAGAATACTCCCTAAGATTATACATTACTGACCTACTTTGGCAGAGGGAGTTTTCTCATCTGAGAGCTCCCCATAACAATGAAATCACAGGTTTAGTCAAACATTTTTTTGCTGTGAGGATTCACAGCCTTATAAAAACAATAAAAACATATAATTTACCTTGACAAGAATCAGAATGTAATTGGTCAGTTATATCAGAAGTACTACTGCTACGGGGTATCTGTTGCTCCTGGTCGACCAACAGGCAGCCAGATTCACCTCCTGTTACATTTTCTGATTGTTGACATTCTTCAACTTCTGAAAATCATTAACAGAAAATATGCAATATTTTTAAATTAAATTATAAAACTTGAAATAATATATTTTATTCCATTCTGAATTACTATAAAGTTTAATAGTTTCAAAATAGACATGATGATGAATCTTAAAATAATAAAGTACTTAGATTTCCTAAGATTAATGTTTAATACTATGAAAATACTTTAACTCAATTTTCACAATAAAAAAACTAATAGAGCAGAATAAACATTACAGATGGTAATCATTAAAATCATTGAGAAGAAGAAAGGAAAAAATGGAAATAAGCAAGGAGGGGAAAAATGTGCACATACTAAAGCCTGGGTTATTATTTGATGATTAAATTTGATGAAAGAAATAGGAACATAAATTTACCAAGATTAAAGAAAAAGGAAATAAGAGAGTTAAACTTCAATTGTACCCTCGTTTATTTGAAAAATAAAACCAATTGCCAAAGTAAGTGCTAAAGTGTAAGTAAGATGAGTTTCTCATGGACATGAGTTAACTATGCATTACTACATGTCTTCATTATTATGTCTCAATATTAGACACTTGGGTGGGTTTTTTTTAATTATGTACTTGGTAGTGTTTCTGTTCTCCAATGTTTCAACAAACAGATGACCACATCAATGATATTCTCTTCAACGATGCATATTGCAGTTAACAAAAGCCCATCCTGACTCACAGAGGGAAGATTTTGGTTCATATTTTAAAATAACTTGTTCTGAAGAAATGCTTATGTGAAAAAGTCACTAAAAAGATGCCCAAACTCTAAGTTACTGTAATATTCTTAATGATCCTGGAGGACATGTCTTCCTCCTCATAGCTGAGAGGCAGAGAGCAAGCCTATACATTATCAAATACAATCACTAGACTAGTGTTTGTGCTTTTTAGTTCAGTTGGGGAGGGAGAAGGGAATTTTTAATAATGTGTGATATAATGACAAAAGGCATCAAAATATTGAAAAATATATTACATTAAAAAAGAAGGGCAAGTAGGAAGAATCTATCTTCCAACCTCACCATTAGACCGAAACTTTTCTCACAAGGTTACCCAATGATTTGTTAATAACTAAATCTGAAGTCAGGAAGTCAACTAGCATTTACTAAGCATTATCTAAAAGACTTTTCTCATTTCTCATCTGTTGATTATTTGGTCTCTCCCTTGTTCCAATAATAGACAGATTAGATAGACAGACAGACAGATAGATAAGATAGATACATACATACATAGACAGACACGTTCATGTGGTCTCCTCTGTCAGAACGTAACTTACCAACTAGCAGGTACTATTTAACCTCATTATTTGTATGTGCAGTGGTTAGCAGGTTCTGGCACTGAGGAAGTGCTTGCTGATTAGGCACCCAACTGCCTCTTCCTGAATTTCTCCACCTTTGACTTTAATGAACTGTTCTTCCTAAGTTCCCTTCCTATCTGTTTGACCAATTCTACTTAATCTACCTCAACAACATCTCTTTCCACTCAGACAACCATTACCCTAATTCAGAACCTCATTACTTCTTGTCTGTCCTACTTTAGTAGTCCCCAATCATTTCCCTACTTCAAGTCTCTCCCTTCTCCAATCTATTTCCTACCAAAATCATCTTCCAAAAGCAAAAATTGTGTCACTTCTTTGCTCAAGAATTCCTATTCTCCCTAGAATGAAATACAAAGTCCACAGCTGGACACTTAATAGCCATTCAGTCAGTCTAACTCCATTCTTATGCTTGTGGGCTTATTTTACAATAATGGTAATGGTAATGAATGTCAACAGCTTAGCATCTTCAAGTCCTTAATAAATATATGGTGAGTGAAAAATAAGTAAATGAAACAACATCTTGATTAACCTCAAACTAATAAGGAGATAGACACTAGACCTGTGATTTCACTGGCATAAGAAACTCCCAGGTGAGGCAGCTCCCTCCACCAAGGCAAGTCAGAACCCTTTGCAACTTATAATCTTAGAGAGTTACCTAGAGCAGAGAGAAGATAAAAGACTTGCCTAGGGTCATACAACCAGTACGTGTCAAAGGCAGGATTTAAACCCAGGTCTATACCATGGTACCTCTCCTGGATACAAAGAATAAATAGATGAGTTTAAGAAACTAGCCATTCAAAAATTTAAATTTAGCTTTTGTTTCACTTTGCTTCTAGTAACAAAAAGCATCTGTGAGAAAAATAATACCAGAGATTTAAGGATTCCTTTAACAGGAAGCCATTCCATCACTAAAGATTTCACTAGAGCTTCCTCATGGTATGGTGGATTCTCAAAGGCCAGGCCAATGGAATTTAAGTTCAGGCATTTGCTATAGTAAGTAAGAAATGTAACAGATTTATGTGTCTGTTGTCCACAAAACAGTTAGTTAAGCTCCTAGAGCCTCGTCACTGTGTAAGCCACAGGATGATGAAATTTGTAGGCACAACAACTCAAACATCACCTAATAAGTTGTAAAAGTTTTGCCATCCTTGTTAATAGAGAACACAGAGATGAAATCAATGAAGTATGTATATACATACACACACACACACACACACACACACACACACACACACACCCCTCTCTAAACTTCTAGAATTTGTCTTGTAGTCTGAAGAAATTTCTCCCAATCTCATTTTGGTTTAGTAGAGGATTCTCTACTAATTAAGGAAAAGGAATTAATACACTTTAGAATTTTCACAATGAGTATTCAGCAATATTTTTCTGTTTAGCCTTGGTTATAGGTTAACTGTTCACTTAATCATGATTTTATGAACCCCAGAAGAAAAACGTGGGGAAAATATAGTCCATGTATCAGGATTTGATTTAGCAGGACATTTTGCTTAATTATTTACCTGATTATTGGCAATAAAGATAAATAACTGATGACTAGCCACACTGTACTATTTCTTGGTAGCTGGTAGTACAGTCAATAGAGTGTTAGGTCTGCGGTCAGGAAGATCTGAGTTCAAATCTAGCTTTCAACACTTACTACCTGTGTGACCCTGGGCAAGTCACTTAACCTCTATCTGCTTCAGTATCTTCAACTATAATATGGAGATAATAATAGAACCTACCTCACAAGGTGAAGATCAAATGAATTTGTAAGGCACTTAGCACAATGCCTTTGCACACAGTAGGCACTTAATAAATGCGTGTCCCTTCCCCCATCCCTTAACTATGATCAAACTGCTCACTTACACTAAACAAGTTCAGTGATAGAAAGAACATCCTAAAAGAGTAAACATTTCCACACTTTTTCAGTTCCTAAAAATATTTCATTACAGACTAAGTAGTATTGACTCTGATAATCTCAAATTTAAAATAGAGAACCAGAGTAAGGAACAGAAACAAGAGGCTAAATTTGATATGTAGAGAATGAACAGTTGGGTGACAGAAATGAGGGCCACAGAAAGTCATTTCTAGTTGTCTTTCTTTTTTACATGAGCCTTCTTATTTCAATTTCATAATACAGTGATGCTAAAGATAGTTCTCCCATGGAGGAATGAAAATCAAGTAAAGCAGATACTCACTAAAGGATATATTTTTCAACCTCACAAAATCCAAGGAACAAACTAGATATTGTACAACCCTACCTTTATATTCTCTAGTATTGCCAAACAGAATCCAGGATGTAGACAGATGGTTTATTTTGGCTATTTTCCTTTCTAATTAAAGAAGAGGTCAGAGACAAAGTACTTTGCTTGGCAAAGGGGGTCTCTACTAATTTCTCATTTTGAGGGAGTGGGGAGAGACAGACATACTAATACATTGTTGGTGGTACAACCATTTTGGAAAACAATTTGGAATTAATGTTCATACCCCCTACCAAAGACTCCATTACTGGACTTATGTCTCAAGGAAGTTATTAATAAGAAAAAGGTCCTCATCTACTCTAAAACATTTATAGCAGCACTTTTCTTGTGCTAGCTAAGAATTAGAAACAAAGTATATGCCCATCAATTGGGGAATGGCTAAAAAAAGTGTGGTATATGAATATAATGGAATACTATTATGCTATATGACATGATGTGTGTGATGAATACAGAGAAGTATAGAAAGAGCTATATGAATTGATGTAAAGTGAAATTAGAGGCAAGAAAACTACATACATAGTAGCCACAAGAATTTAAATGGAAAGAACAATCATGCACCAAAAAATTAAAAGCAAATGTAACAAAATTATAAAGATCAAGTAAGATTTCAAATGAAGTATGAGAAGACACACCCAACCAACCTACCACTTCATGGAGTCTACAGGTTTTAGAAACTGTACATGTTTTTGGACTTTCTCAATGCATCAATAAGTTGCGCTGATATTTTTTCGTTTCTAAAAAATACTGTTTATCATATGAGATTGTTGTTGGAGAGAGTTTGTGGATGGAAGACTTGGGATACCATTGTGATATGAGAAATAGAAAACATCAATAAAAAAATTTTAATTCTAATTCAAAGCCAGTAGAGGGAGTCCAAGAGCTACCTTGCACCCTTTATTGCTAAATAAATAGAAATACCTTTTAATTTTCCCTTGGGTAACAGAACAGCAAGTTTCAGTTCCTTAAAGGAGAAAGTGGTAGCCACTAGATAAGAACAAGTAAATAAAAATCTAGAACAAAAACCATAGAGCAGCATCTCTAAAGGAAAAGAAACCAACCAAGTGTTATGATACTAACCAACACAAGCCCATCACTTTGAAATTATAGGGTTCCTTTTGGTCCCATTACATTATCAACACATTGATCTCCTCACTAGATAACCTTTTCAAATACTCTAGTTTGATATTGCTTTTAAGACTTTGCTTTAGTGAAAGCGTCGGGAGAGTCTTCTTCAAATGGAGTACAAGTGTACAGTCACAAATGGCCACTTAAGCAGTAGGATTTTACAGCTCTTCTGATGGGGAAATAGAAGTGGAGGGGAGTAGAGAGAGAAGATACTTTTTTGTCACCCTTGTACAACTGTAGCTCACTGGCATGAAGCCAAATGATATTAAGGGAAGGAGATACCTTTCAAAACTATTTATCCT